CCACCCACCCATCCATCCACACACCCATCCATCCATCCACTCATCCACACACCTATCTACCCACCCACCCACACACACATCCACCCATCCACCCATCCACCCACCCATCCATCCATCCACCCACCCATCCACCCATCCACACACCCATCCATCCACCCATCCACACACCCATCCATCCACCCACCCACCCATCCATCCATCTGTCCATCCATCCACTCATCCATCCACACACCCATCCATCTCTCGGTCCTGCGTGTCTGTCCATCCATCTATCCATCCATCTTACGGATGCTTACTAAGTGCCTAGTGTACGCCCGGCATAGGCCAAGGCCCTGTGGGGGATATTCCATGGCGACGGTACTCCGATACTCCGTGGTTACAGAACAATGACAGTGACAATAGGGAGAAGTCAGCCTCATGAGACAGGTGCCCTGAGGCAGCAGCTTTGCCAGTAGCTAAATGCAGAACAGGGAGCAGTCGACAGGGGGCCAGGGCAGGCTGGGAGGCTTCCTGGAGGAAGTGGCTTTGAGTAGGGGTCTTAAGTGGGGGTGATTTTGGATTGGCACAGAGTGGGGACATAAAGTTAATTGAAGGCAGGAGGGTATGGCATGGAGGGGAGGGTGGGTTAAGGCGGGGGCAGGGCTGGCTGGAGCCTGGAGGGTACACCTGGGCCTCTCCTGAGCTGTCTGGATCCCCAGGCCGGAGCCCTTCCCGCTGCAGGAGAAGGTGTGCGCCTGGGGGCCAGGCCTCACCCTCCCTCTGCCCCTGCCCTCTGCCCCTGCCCTAGGTGCGGCTGAGCCTCCTGCAGCTGAAAGGCCTGGAGGACAGCTATGAAGGCACTGTGACCTTTCCGACCGGGAGGTTCACCATCAAACCCTTGGGGTTCCTGTAAGTGCCGCCCCAGAGTGGACAGGGCAGGGAAAGGGCCACGCACTGCGCAGCCAGACAGCCCTGGGCTCTGGTGCTGCCTCTGTCACTTCCTGGCCACATGGCCTCACCTGTCACCTGAGCTCCCAGAGCCTCGCTTCCTCCTCTGTGAGACGGGCGTGTGGTGGCACTCATGGCAGCGCGGTGACCCTCTGGCACCCCGGCTCTCCTCAGCCTCTTGCAGATTGCTGGGGACCTGGAAGACTTGGAGCCAGCCCTGAATAAGACCAAGACCAGGCACACTGTGGGCTCTGGCTCCTGCTCCGCGCTCATCAAGCTGCTGCCTGGACAGAGTGACCTCCTGGTGGCCCACAACACCTGGAACTCCTACCAGAACATGCTGCGTGTCATCAAGAAGTACTGGTTCCAGTTCCACGCGGGCCCCCAAGGTGGGTGGGTGTGGGTGTGGGCGTGTCTGTGGGCGCACAGGGGCAGGGCGGTACCGGGACATGTGAGCCTTGGCCCTGTGCACACTGGGGTCACTGTAGGGCATTCTAAGAGCTCATCCTATTTTTATCATGTTGATTTCCTTTTGGTGTTTATTTCACAAGGTATATCAGTTAGCTACTGCTGCATAACAAATCACCCCAAATTTAAAACCACAAAAGCTTAGGACACACCTGTTTATTTTTGCTCCCATGTCTGTGGGTCAGCTGGTGGCTTGGTGATCCTGGGCCAGGCCTGCTGATCTTTGCTGGGCTCACGGACGCTTCTGCTGTCAGCTGAGGCGAGCTGGCTGACCTAGGATGGCCTCATTCACGTGTCTGGGGGTGGCTGTCAGCTGGGCCATGGGGCAGCTGGTCTTTCGTCGTCCCACAGGCTAGCTCAGGCTTGTTCCTGTGACACCTGGGCAGCCAGTGTGGGAGGCCTCTTGAGGGCTGGTTGAAACGGGCACAGCATTCTGTTGCTCAGAGCAAGTCAAGTGACCGGGTCAGATTCGAGAGGTGGGGAATAGACCCACCATCTGATGGAAGGAACTGGAGGGTCACGTTACAGATGGTGTGCGTGCTCAGGAAGAATTACAGCCATTTTTGTGAACAGTCACCTACACGAGGAATGCATGAATACATTCTTCCTGTCAAATGTGAAAGCTTTGCAGCTAAGGCCCCCGTACCCCAAAGTGCCCCCCACTGACCCTGGCCCCAGTGTCAACCCCAGAGGTAGCCGCTGCCGAACGTTTGCAGTGCCTCCTTCTTGGCCAAACTTAAAACTTAGTGTTGCCAGGAGTTGGCAAGAGAGTGGGGAAGTGCATACCCTCCCCACTGCTAATGGGAATATGGGTTGGCATGGCCACTCTGAAGAGGAACCCCGCCGGTGTCGAATAAAATTCAAAATCTGTCACTCCCGCCATCCAGCCATTCTCGGCTCAGATCTGTCCGTAGGGAAACTTTTCAGTTTCTGCACGGATCCTGTGTACTAGGATGTCAATCGCAGCCATGGTTTGGAAACAATCTAATGCCCATTAATTTAAATTTAAGTAAACTTGGAAATTGACGTTTGTGCAGAAAAGCGTGCACATCGTAAGTGTATAGCTGGAATTTTTGCACACTGAACACACCTGTGTGTAGCACCCGGCTTGAGAAACAGAACATTCCCAGCCCCCAGAAGCTCCTCTCGTGTTCCTGTCCAGGGCCTCTCCTCACCCCAGCGTCATCTCTGTCCTGACGGCGTGGATTCGGTTTGCCTGACTCGGAATGTTCTGTTGGGTGGAAACAGGCTGCATGTGCTCATTAGCCTCTGACTTCTTTCGCTCAGCGTGATGTCTGGGAGACTCACCCACATTGTTGTCTGTAGCCGTGGCCCCATCGTCCTCATGCTATATATCCACGAACATTTAATATCTTTAAAAAAACCTGTGTGTGGGGCCAGCCCCGTGGCTTAGCGGTTGGGTGTTGCACGCTCCACTACTGGCAGCCTGGGTTTGGATCCCGGGCGCGCACTGACGCACCGCTCGTCCGGCCATGCTGAGGCCGCGTCCCACATACAGCAACTAGAAGGATGTGCAACTATGACATACAGCTATCTGCTGGGGCTTTGGGGAGAAAAAGGGAAAAAAAGGAGGAGGATTGGCAATAGATGTTAGCTCAGGGCTGGTCTTCCTCAGCAAAAAGAGGAGGATTGGCGTGGATGTTAGCTCAGGGCTGATCTTCCTCAGCAAAAAGAGGAGGATTGGCGTGGATGTTAGCTCAGGGCTGATCTTCCTCATGAAAAAAAAAACAAAAAGAAAACCTGTGTGAGTCATACACGTATGTTATAGAAAATTGGAAAATACAGCAAAACACACACAGTGAAAATCGCTTGAACACCCCACACCCCACAAGAGAGAATTTCTGTGAACATTTGGTTATTTTTTTTCTAGACTTTTAAAAAATGGACCTCAATTTTCCATTCGTTTCAGTTTGCTTTTATTATACTAATAATACTTGAATACATTCTCGCCGCCACAAACTCCACAATAGAGATGGAGAGAGGCATCTCCCTTGATGCTCTCCTCCCAAATTCCAGATGCCTCCACACCCAGACACTGCTGTTGCCGTTTTGGTTTGGATCCATGTATGTGTTTTTATATGGACCTTTTGTGTAGTTAATAGACTTTATTTTTTAGAAAAGTTTCAGGGTTACAGGTAAATTGAGTGGATAGTACAGCGAGTCCCCATATCCCCCCTCCCTGTATTAGTAACGTGTTATGTTAGTGTGGTACCCCTGTTACAATTGATGAACCAACATTGATACGTTGTTATCAACCGAAGTCCATCGTGTACATTCGAGTTCACTCCTTGAGTAGCATAGTTTTATGGATTTTGACAAATGCGCAAAAAGACATGTATCTACCATGACAGTATTAAACAGAAGAGTTTCACTGCCCCAAAAAGTTTGCTTTCTGGTTTTTTAAACATGAATAAGACCATGCCCTTTGGATTGTTTGCAACTTGCTCCTTTTGTTCTACAGCTGGCCTTGGAGAATTTTTGATATTGCCATGTTTGGGCCACCTTTTAAAAGCTGAATGTTAAACTTTAGTCCCCAGTTGACGATTTGGGCCATTTCCAGGTCTTTGCTGTTTCAAACAGTGCTGCAGCGAGGAAGTGGACCCCCAGAGGTGTTTCCTAGTGGAAACCCTAGGTTAAGAGATGGGCATAATGAAAATGTTAATCTCTAGATAGATACAGTCAAATTGCCTCCAAAAATGGTTGGGCCAGTTTACACTTCTGCCCCACCAGTCTACGAGCGTGTCTACTGTCCCCTCCACTTTGGCAGCACTGGGTGTTATGGTTCATTTCAATGTTTGCCATTCTGATGGGTGATAGGTGACATCCCAGACTAAGTCTTGTTTTTTTTGTTGTTGTTGGTATTAACTTATTGATGGATAGCTTAATTACACATTTAGGGTGTATAATTTGATGGGTGTGGACAAACATATGCAGTCATGTAACCACCACTCAATGAAGATAGGGAACATTTCCATCATCCCAGGAAGTCCCCTGAGCTTTTGTCTCACCCGTCTTCCCAGGCAGCCACCCTTCTGATTTCTTTCCCATTATGTTAGTTTTGCCTGGTCTAGAACTTCATATAAACCTGCATTAAGTTTTAAAAATTTCTGGTTGTAGTTTTTATTTATTTGTATTATTGAGGTAAAATTCACATGACATAAAATTAACCATTTTAAAGTGAACAGTTCATGGGCTGGCCCCGTGGCTTAGGTTAAGTGCGCGCGCTCCGCTACTGGCGGCCCGGGTTCGGATCCCGGGCGCGCACTGACGCACCGCTTCTCTGGCCATGCTGAGGCCGCGTCCCACATACAGCAACTAGAAGGATGTGCAGCTGTGACATGCAACTATCTACTGGGGCTTTGGGGGGGAAAAAAAGGAGGAGGATTGGCAGTAGATGTTAGCTCAGAGCTGGTCTTCCTCAGCAAAAAGAGGAGGATTAGCGTGGATGTTAGCTCAGGGCTGATCTTCCTCACAAAAAAAAAAAAAAGAGAGAGAGAAATGTGTCAGTGGAAAAAAAAATTAAAAAAAAAATAAAGTGAACAGTTCAGTGGCATTTAGTACATTCACAGTGTTGTATAACTCCCACCTCTATCTCATTCCAAAACATTTTCATCACCCCAAAAGGAAACTGGTACCCGTGAAGTAATCACTCCCTACTGCCCCCGCCCAGCCCCTGACAACCACTAATCTGCTTTCTGTCTCCGTAGATTTACCTGTTCTGGGCACTTCATATAAATGGAATCATACGATAATGGTTTTCTTGTGACTGGCTTCTTTCTCTTAGCATCATGTTTTCAAGGCTTATCCATGTTGTAGCAGGTGTCAGGATTTCCTTCCTTTTTTGGCTGAATCATAGTCCATTGGCTGGGTAGACTACCATTTGTTTATCCATTCATCCACTGATGGATGTTTAGGCTATTTTCACCTTTTGGCTCCCACACTAATTTTTAATAATTAAAATAATGACTTAAGTAATATGTGTTCCCTGTGAAAAATATCATAGAGCACAAAGAAGGAATAAAAATCACTTGTAATCTGCCTGTCCTGTGCCCCTGAAGAAGCACCATTGATGTTGGTGGTCTTCCCTTCCAGGTTCAGCTGTTTAGTTCTGACTTTGCCCTTTTTACTTGTACCTGTTAGTTAGTTATGCAGAAATGGTTCCTTCACTGCATCCCCTCAGATGCCCTCACCCCTCCCCTAGAACCCCGTGCACCTGAAGCCCATCCCTGGACAAGTCCCGGTCTGGGTAGATGGTGCCCTTGATTGTAGGCCTCCCGCATGCCCGCTGTTGTGCTAGAAGCTCTTCACCACTGTGACCTTGTGAATTAAATCCTTACGCCTGCCCGAGGTCAGGGGAGGGATGGTTATTCCCACTTTGCAGATGAGGAGACTGAGGCTCAGGAAGGCTAAGTGACTTGCCGTAGACCCAGCAGTTACTGGGGGCTGAGCTGGGCTTCTACCCGGGTCTCCTTCCGCCAGAGTCTGTGCTCTCATATGATCCACCAATCCCCTTTCCAGATATTTTTCCAAAGGAAATGAAAACAGGATTTCAAGGAGATGTCTGCAAACTCATATTCATTACAGCTTTATTCACCATAGCCAGGCTATAGAAGCAACCTGAGTATCCATCGATGGATGAATGGATAAAGAAGATGTGACATGTGTATATGGTGGAATCTTATTCAGCCTTAAAAAAGAAGGAAATTCTGCCATTTTGGTCAACATGGATGAAGCTGGAGGGCATTATGCTAAGTGCAACAAGCCAGACAGAGAAAGACAAATACTGTATGATCTCACTTAGATGTGGAGTCTAAAAGAGTCAAACTCATCGGAGAGAGCAGAGTGGTTACCGGGGGCTGAGGGGAGAGGAAATGGGGAGATATTGGTCAAAGGGCACAAAGTTTCCATTATGAGATGAAGAAGTTCTGGGGATCTAATGTACGGCATTATGGTTAACAATAGTGTTGTGTATACTTGAAATTTGCTAAGAGAATAGATCGTAAGTGTTGTCACCACACACAAAAATGATAACTATTTGAGGTGATGGATGCATTAATTAGCTTGATTCTGGTCATTCCACAATGTGTATGTATATCAAATCACGTTGTACACGTTAAATATAGACCATTTTTATTTGTGAATTATACCTCAATAAAGCTGGAAGGCAAAACCCAAAGAAACAAAACCCGTGTTCTCAGACTTCTGGGTATTGCCCTCTGAATTATCTTTTTTATGATAAATTTTGCAATTAACAAAAGTACTAGTAAACAAAATATGTATAAATATATATGTGTGTAAATATATATATGCTTTTTATTTTAATTCTTTTTGCTACTGGCTTTCCTTTTTACACACACGTGCGTGCACACACACACACACACACACACACATATATGTCAAATGCCTGCTTTGCTAGGTATCAGAAAGGATGGAGGGGACCTTCCTCCGAGGCTGCTGCTCCCCGCCTGGACACTCCCAAGCCTCGTTGGGTGGGGGTGCGGGGCCCCACGTGGGCTTGTCTGACCTGCACCCCGGCCTCGCTCTCCCCACACAGAGGACTCTCCCCTGGCTCCTGGCAACAGGCTGGTCTTCTCGTCCTACCCAGGCACCATCTTCTCCGGCGACGACTTCTACATCCTGGGCAGTGGGCTGGTGAGTCGGCTCTCCTGTCTCCGTTCTCCCCAGGGCTGCTTTTCCCCTGCAGCTCTGGCCCAGCAGGGTGTGTCTGATTGGCCAGCTGTCGCTGGGTATTCTGGTGACCTACCTTGCTGTGCGTAGGAGCCGGGGCACAGCGGGGATGAGGTGGACACAGCCCCCACTCCATCCCAGGGCCGAGGCAGCGGGGGGCTTGTTCAGTGTAGATTCCCAGGTCTCACCCACTGCAGCCGGCCTGGGCCTCTGCATTGTAACGCAGCTCCTCAGAAATCGCTGGTTTGGGCCCTTTTCAAACATCGTTGATCTGCATGGCCTCATGTTGTTTTTATGTTTTTAGGATAAGCCGTTCCTCTCCCCGCATGACCTCGCTCTTTCTCACACTGCCTTCCCTTTTGTTTTCCACAAAACCCCTCTAACTGGGCCAGGTTTTCTGAATAATGTTGTTTATAGTGTGTTGTTTTTATCGGTTTTCCTGGCTGAGGTCCAGACGCGTTTAGAGGTCTGTTCCTGGCACCCAGGCCGAGGCAGCGGCCCTGTGATTGCCGGGGCAACGCTGCAGAGGAGACAAAACACGGCGTCAAAGAAAGCCCTTGGCGCAGAAGCTGCCAGTTCCCTGGGGAGGGGAGGGCTCTTTCCTTGCCTGTTAGTTTTTTCGAGGAGTGTGGGATTTAGTCCCCTTGGATGTGGACAGAGGCCTGTGAGGGCCAGGCAGTGGGTGGGGGACACCAGGCTGCAGTCTGGGGTGGGAAGAGGAGAGTGAAGCCAGGGGAAGGACGGTTGAAGTGGTTTAATCCAGTTACCCGGAAAGTGTCTGGGCAGGAAATTTACCTTCCATCCGCGTCCTTAACTGTGCCACAGACCCCTGGGCAGGTGGGGAGCTGTGAATCTCTTCCCAGAATAACGTTTTCAGGTGTGTAAACCAAAATATGTGGGCTCATAAAGGAAACCAATTATAATGAAATGCGTTTATGGAAATATTATATAGGGAAACTGTAATATGATAGTTGTCGTGCTTTATTAGCACATGAAGCAGGAAGATCTGGTAGCGGGTGTGCTACCTGCCGTAATTTGGAAGTAACAAGGAGCGTAACGATATTCTGAGATGTGGGGGGAGAACGTCTTTGATTCTGTTGGTGGCAGTCTCGGGCACCGCGGATGCCACTGTGGCGTGTCACCTGTGTTGGCAACGGAAGGAGAGGCTGAATTGCAGTGTGACGTTAGGAGAATAAAGCTGTCATGTTCCCCCTCCGAGTCTGCAGACTCCCGAGTGCTGCCCCAGAGAGGGGAGAGAGGAAGCTGCCCTCCAGGGCTTTGGAGGCCGTGCGGGTCCCAATCCTGGCGATGGCTTTGGCTGCTAAGAGCCGCTGGTGGAGGGACAAGGAAGGAACAGAGTGGAGGGGTGGAGAAAGCTGCTTCTACCTGGGCCTTGCTGGTGAGAGGCTTGTTTTGCCGGGTCGTCTTTTAAACATCACATTTGTGGCTACTGCTATCTTGTAGCTGTTTTCCATTTTGTGTAGAGAAGGAAGAAACACGCTCATATCCTGCTGTAGGGGAACGAGCACTAGTTTAAGAGTTTGGGGATCAAATCTAGGCTCATCCACTTACCAGCTGTGACCTTTGGTAAGCTTCTTCAGGCCTCAGTTTACCTTTCAGTAAGAAGGGGCACTGACAGCCGTGCTGCTTTCCCGGGAGGGCTATGAGTTCATTGAGATTGTGGTAGTCAGCAGGCTGACAGCCTCAAGCCACCCAACTTTCCCTGCAAAACTGCAGGAAAGTGGTCGAAATGGGATGTTATCTTTCAGAGGAAAGAGTAGGGGGATTGGGTCCATAGGAGCAGCACTGCAGGCTCCCCAGGGCAGAGCTGGATACATGATCATGAATCCCCCTCAGTGCTCATCCAAGGAACGAGCGAGGAACATTTAAACCAGGACATGAGGTTTTAAAAACCTGTAAATAGGCAACGTATGAACCATGACTGATGCAGCACCGCCACTTGGTGGCAGCGTGCCCTGGTAGTAAGTCAGGTGGCCCTTCCGTGCAGTGCCTCCTCGGCTCTCCCACAGGTGACTCTGGAGACCACCCTTGGCAACAGGAACGCGGCCCTGTGGAAGTACGTGCAGCCCAAGGACTGTGTGCTGGAATGGGTGCGCAACATCGTGGCCAACCGCTTGGCTGTGGACGGGGACAGCTGGGCAGACATCTTCAAGAGGTTCAACAGTGGCACGTGAGTTGGCTCCTGTGGCACACCCTCTCCAAGCCCTCTCACGGGTTCTCCCTGGAGCTGGAAGGAGTCCTCAAGTCCCCTCCTGTGTTTTGTACGTGGGGAAACTGAGGCTCAGGGAAGGAGAGGACTTGCCTCTCTCCTGCAGGCTCCTCTACCCAGGAAAGGTCTCCAGAGGAAAGACAGGAAGAGAGCTTGGAAGTTGAGAGCTCTGGGGACAGTGGGAGGGCCGTCTGGTAAGGTGGGACGTGGGTGGATGGGGGCCTGTGAACCAGAGACCCTGCAACTGGCTAGTGCGAGGTCTCAGTGTCAGGCTGGAGAATTGATTCCGGTGAGCACAAGGGAGCCACTGACTCCTCTGGAGCAGGGTTTGAGGACACAGTATCACAGGCTGCAGTCTCAGAGTGACAGTCGGGTGCCAGGACACCCCCAGGCCACCTGTGCCCCAGGACTCCTGGCTATGTGGAGCCCTGGGGGCGGGGGAGGCTGGGGCAGGGCCCGGGCTGTGTTCAGTCCTCTCCTTGGGCCCGGCAGGTACAACAACCAGTGGATGATCGTGGACTACAAGGCGTTTGTGCCCGGCGGGCCCAGCCCTGGGAGCAGGGTGCTCACCATCCTGGAGCAGATCCCGTGAGTGCCCTGCGGAAGGGGGAACTGCCTGGCCAAGCGCCTGGAGGCGTGCTGAACAGGGCGGGAGGGGAATCTAAGGAGGCGAGGCTGGAGAGAAGGCAGCCCCCACTGGGGCTCAAGATGCAGGACGTAACCTATCTCCAGGCAGTGGGGAGCCATCGGGGACCCTTGAGCAGGGTGGTGCCCACAGGAGTCCTTTTCTCCCCACTCCTGCCCCGTCTCTCTTCTCCGTTCAGGGGCATGGTGGTGGTGGCTGACAAGACCTCGGAACTCTACCAGAAGACCTACTGGGCCAGCTACAACATACCGTACGTCCCCCCTGGTGTCTGCCCCACCCTTGCTCAGCTCTCCGTCCTGGTGGGGGTCCTTCCTCAGGTGACTCTTTAAGCCCACGGAGCAGAGAAACCCACCCACCCTGTTCTTTGCCAGGAAAGCCCTGACAGTTTAGGGTAGAGTTGTGGGCTGTCAGTGTCCGTATGGCCCCCTGGTCTGCACCCACAGCAGGGGGTGGGGTGGCCAGGCTTGGGTGCCGACCCTGCCACGGCTCCCCAGCGGGATCTGCTTTAACGGGGCTTCACAGCCGTCCCCTCTCGATGCCCGCTGTGCTTTTCCTGGGTTCTCTCAGTCGATCTTACAACCACGTGGTGGCTCTGGCTCCCGTCCCATTCCACAGATGAGGAAACTGAGGCCCCGAGAGAAGGCCTGACCTTCCCACGCTTCCCTAGGTGGTCAGCGGTGAAGTCAGGATTTGAACCCATGTCTCTCGGACCCCAAAGCCCAACCTTGGTCACCCCACCAAGCCACCCCCAGCCCAAACAAGACATCACTGTCGCCGTCCTGACTGTCGTGGTCATTAGTGATCGTGTTCTGGCGTGGTGGCCCCTCCGCCTCCCTGGCCACGGCCACGCCAGGTAAGGTCAGAGGGGGATGAGAGTGACCATCCTTGTCCCCAGCAGGTCCTTCGAGAGTGTGTTCAACGCCAGCGGGCTGCAGGCCCTTGTGGCCCAGTATGGGGACTGGTTCTCCTACGACGGGAGCCCCCGGGCCCAGATCTTCCGGCGGAACCAGTCGCTGGTGCACGACCTGGACTCCATGATGCGGCTCATGAGGTGCGCGGGAGTGTGAGCCCGGGGTCGCGGAGGCTCTCTGTGGGCTTCGCTGTCCCTCCTCTGAAGCTCCCGGCAGCCCGGGGTGGGCAGGGGTGAGACGTGTGGCAGCCGGTCTGGCAGTACCATGGTGGCGCCCGGCGTGGCCTGTTGCCGTCCTCGTGTTACAGGGGAGTGACACCTGTGCTGGGCAGTGTGCTTGGTACCAGAGCAGCAGGCACAGAACGTGTCCCCACTGTCCTCGGGGCGCCCCTGCCTCGTGGGAGACGCAAACATGCACTGAGTCCTCACGCCGATGTGCCTGTGTAGCTAGGACCGTCTGAGTCCCAACAAACACTGTAAAGGGACATGACGGGGCCTCTAGCCTGGCTCGGGGTGGGAACCCAGAGGGGCTGCCTGCGCGGGATCTGAGGACGAGTGTGGGGTGACGGGTGAGGGGATGGGAGGGGCCACGCACACTGGAAGCTGGTGGCTGTGTTAAGGGCCGCTGCCGCGGGACGTGTGGTTCCCTCTCGGCTTCCCGTTCCCAGCACGGCTGATGTCCCCTCCCTTCCCGCATCAGGTACAATGACTTCCTGCATGACCCCCTGTCCCTGTGCAAAGCCTGCAACCCCCAGCCCAACGGAGAGAACGCCATCTCGGCCCGCTCCGACCTCAACCCGGCCAACGGCTCCTACCCGTTCCAGGCCCTGCGCCAGCGCTCCCACGGGGGCATCGACGTGAAGGTGCCACCCAGCCCGGGCCCCAGGCTGCGGGTGGGCGGGGTCACCATCACCGCGGGGAGGGGCGGTGAAGCCTGGGGTAAAGCAGATGGCAGGGCAGCAGTCAGGGTCACAGCTGGGCTGTGGCTGGGCTCAGGGCCCCCTGGGTTGGGGAGTCCGGAACCCCTCCCGGGCTGGCGCTCAGCAACCTGCTCTGCCCCGCCCCAGGTGACCAGCATGGCGCTGGCCAAGGCCTTCCGCCTGCTGGCGGTCAGTGGCCCCACGTGGGACCAGGTGCCCCCGTTCCAGTGGAGCGCCTCGCCCTTCAGCGGCCTGCTGCACATGGGCCAGCCTGACCTCTGGAAGTTCCTGCCCGTGGAGGTCTGGTGGGACTGAGGCTCCATCTCTGCTCTGCTGCCTTCTGCCTCTGCTGAGCCCCCAGGGCCACCCGCTCCAGCCCCGCCCTGACCTCCTGCCAGCCCCCTCCATGGGCTCGCTCCTGCTGTGCCCGGACCTGGGACCTGGCTCTGCCAGGTTCAACTCCCGTCTGGGCCGGCTCCTCCTGGGTGGGGCACGGAGCCCGGTGGGTCCAGAACTGACTGTGTGTCCCCCTAAGTGGGTGAGCCATCCTTGCCTCCCTCTGTCTCTCTGCCTCTCTCTGCCTCTCTCTCTGCATTGCTGTCTCTGCTCTCCCTGATTCTCTCTCTCTTCTACCTGGGGGCCCCTTCCTCATGCTGCCCCTCCTGAGGGCTCGGGAGGGGTCCTGGATCAGGTTCTGGGGCCCCAGTGGGGCAGGAGGGGCCTCTTCTGGTCCCTACCTCCAGCGTCATTGCTGCCCGTCACTCTGGAGCTTGTGGGATCTCAGCCCCTGAGACTCAGACATCACCTCCCAGCCCCAGCCCCTCTGCTCCCTCGGGAAGCAGCCCCCTGGTTTCTCCTGGGCAACCTCTTGAGGACGGAAGCTTGAAAACAAACAAAAACCAAAGTTTCTGGTGACTTGTGGCTGGAGGGGCCCTAGTGTCCTCTCTCCAGAGGCAGGCAGGAGTGTCAGCCCCCACGCACCAGCCTCGTGCCCCGGCCCCCCACCCTGGGCTGCCCCTGGCCTAAGGGCAGGACCCTCAGCTTCCCCGCTGTAGGAGCCAAATTGCAGGCTGTGCCGCCATTAAAAAGAGAGAGGCTGTGGCCTGTGCTGTGCTCTCTGGGGCAGTGGGGAAGGCTGGGACGGCGCCTTTCTCCTCTTGGGTGTGGGTTCTGCACCGTCTGTCCATGCGTCCTCCTGTCATCCTTCTGTGTGTCCATCTATCCATTCGTTCATCTGCCAACCCACCCACTCTGTCCTTCTGCAGAGTTACCCACCCATCCATCCATTTTCCAGCCACCCATCTATCCATCTGTCGTCCATTTACCACCCATCTACCCATCCATATCCGTCCGTCCGTCCGTCCATCCATATGTTTATGGGTCCTGTTCTAGGGCCCTATTAACTACCAAGACCTTCCCAAGTCCTACTCTGGGGTCCAGATCAACACAAAACAGAATCCCTCCCCGTCTGATCTTACCCAGAGCCCACACTGGAGACAAGACTCACCCGGTGCTGTGTGCTTGGGTAGAGGAAACACAGCCCTGGAGTCAGAGATCTGGGTTCGAATCCCATCTCCACCACTAGCCATGGGACTCAAGCTCTCTGAGCCTCAGTTACCTGACCTGTAAAATGGGGCAGTGACGTGAGCGGCACTTCCCCGGGGGTGTGGTGCGGATTTGCTGTGATGGTGGCTGTGCGCAGCCCCACAGGGCCCCACTCAGCATTCATTCATTAGCAAGTGTTTGTGGGCCATGTCGGACATGCCAGGCTCTGTGTAAGGTCCTGGGGATACCTTATAACAAAAGGCACAAAAGTCCCTGCTTTTGGGGAGACAGTTAACAAAATAAACACCAAGTGTGTAAGATGCCGGTAAATGCTCTGGAGAAAATACACAGTGCTGTCCCAGGGGTGAGAGTGGTTCTCAGACTTCACTTTGAACTTGGGGATCCAGAAGAGTGCCCTGGGGGCTGCTGTGGGTGGCGTGGGGATGTCCTGAGTGGGCGGTCCCTCGCTCCCTCCCGGACCCCCAGGCAGCCCCAGCAGTTCCTCCTCTGTGTTATGTGCTGGCTTCAGCACACGCTCTCCTGGGAAGAGAGGGTTTCATGTTTCCAGAGGGTTTGCACGACACTGACTTCAAGTCAGCTCCTTCCCTGTCCCCGAGAGGGTGTCCAGCGTCAGTTTACACACCCCCAGGGATGGGGGGCTCACTCCTCTGTGATAAAATCGTTCTGTGATCAGGAAGGACGTCCTATCAGAACGAGGTGGGCCTCGTCCACCTCCCCAGCTGGTCCTGCCTCCAGGGGACGCAGCCCTGTCCCATCCCAAGTCCTCTCGTTCAGCGCCTTCCCTCCCTGCTCCCCGCCCTGCAAGGGGCCCCCTCCCGGCACGTACGCCCCGCTGGGCTCGGGGGCCCTGGCCTCCCCGGGGGCTCCCGGGGGTGAGGGTGGAGGGGTGCTGACTGTTGAGAGCCGGGCTGAGAGCAGGCGTGGGGGTGAGGGAGGGGCGGGAGGAAGACGGCGATGGTGGAAAACTCAAAGGATCTTCGTTTCATAAATAGATATTTCTCTTGTTCAATGAAAAAGTTTGCACATTAGAAAAATGAGTAAGAATGGGCTTTTGGGAGCAAGGGCAAGATGGTTCCTCAACCCTGGGCCATGGCCCTGTCCACCCTCCCAGGGAGAAAGGCCTGGGGTGGGGACTCCACACTTGGATCCTGGTCCCCCCCGCCCACGCTGCTCTGGGGACCTGGTACATTACGTGTGGGTGGCTGTCACCCTGGAGGGTGGTTAAGGGTGGTCACACAGATGCGTGTGTTACCTCACTGGCTGACCTCAGGGGGCGTCGGCCCTTCCACACAGCGCTCGTGAGAACGAGAAGGTGACTGGCCGCCCGGCCGCGGGCTCCCGACCAGACACCAGGGTAGTATGTCTAGCGAGGCGCTGCAGAACACAGCCCCTCGGGGGGCTCCCGGGCGGGGAGGGGCCTCACTTGGGCAGCCCCTTCTTCATGCCCAGCTGTTCCCTGAGAGCCCGCAGCTGGGCCAGGCTGATGTTGCTGCCCCCGCAGACGATGACCACGAGGGAGGACAGGGGGGCACGGAGCTTCCCCTCGCCTTGCAGCTTCTGTAGCACGCGGCTGTAGACGGCGGCCAGGGCTGCGCCGCAGGCGGGCTCCACCAGGACCTTCTCATCATCTGCCAGGGGAGGGGCAGGGGAGGGCGGGGCCTGAGTTCCGCAGGGTGCGAGGAGCTGTGGGCCATGGGTAAAGCATGGGGTTTCTGAGCCAATCTGCCCTCAGCCCTGGCCACAGACTCAGGTCCTGGACCAACCCCCACCCCCCATTACCCTGGACTGAACTTCCAAGCCCTGAGCCAGGGCTAGGTTTCATCATGAGTGCTAACATTGACAAAATGGTTATAATCGCCGGAGCACTGTGTTGAGAAGGATTTTGAGGCATCGTCTGAGCAAGAGTGCCCTGGTCAATTAGCCAAACTGACTGCCAGTACAGGAGAATTTAGTGGCAGCAGCATATATGCTATCCTGTGTGTGTGTCTGTGTGTGTGTTTGCCATCCCTCTCCTAGAAAGAGTCCAGCCTACTTACAGACCCGCTCCTGAGTCCAAAGCTGGGGCCCATGCTTTCCTTTTTCTCCCTGGCTACCAGGAAGCTCAGAGCCAACATTATAAATACCGTTATTGTACCCGGCTGTCATGGTTATCAGCCTTCTTCATTCGTGGCTTTGGCCTCTCTATTTTTACCACTGCGTTGTATTTTTCATTAATGGGAAATTCTAGGAGGGGATGGGAGATAGAACTGTGAGGGAGATTTGCAGTGAGTGGAGCCCCTTGGCACACCAAGTGGACAGCAAATTACTTCCTGAGCCAGCAGGTCAGGTCTTGAAGGGACTTGGCACCTACCCACAAACTTCTCAATGGCAGCCACAGCCTCCTGGTCTGAGATAACTTCAGGGAAAATGGGGTGTTCCCGAAACAGCTTCAGGGCCTGAGCCCCCACGGTCTTCACGCCCAGGGCCTTGGCAACGCTGGGGGTGGGGGATGGGGAAGGGGACATGAATGGGGGAAACAGAGTGAGGAGAGAGGAAGGAGGCAGAGATTGGGATGGGGAGGGAGAAAGAGACAGGTGTGAGAAGGAGGAGGCAGTGGGGGTCCGCGGGCAGGGGCTGGGCGTACCCTCTGCAGCTGTAAAGCACTGAGAAGTCCTGGGGGTCCCTGGGCACAGTGGGGTCTTCTAATAGGGCACAGATTGCTCGAATGGGGGTAAATAGCATCATTCTGTTCAACATCAACCCAGGAGCAAATGCCTGAGAGGCCCCCTTGCACTTCCCTGAAGGGACTCCCAGCCTTTGCCCCGGGCTGTCGCCTCCACCTGCTCAGCCCTCGCTAAGCTCAGTGCCGCTCTGCCTGCCAGAGTCCTGCCTCCCTTCAAGGCTCAGGATTAGGGCCGCCTCCTCCAAGGAGTCCTCCAGGGGAGCACTCAGTCCCGTGGCCGCATGTGGAATTCTCAAACAGTCCTTCCCATAACACGAACATAGTGACAACTTCTTGAGAAAGTATTAGGGGCCAGCACTTCACAGGCATTATTTAATTCTCGCACCAATTTCTGCTGTGAATTGGTTCGATCGTCAATCAGTAGTGCTGGGGCTGCAGGCAGGATCTGTGTAACTCTGGGACCCGGGCTCATAATCGGTGTGTTCTGCTCCCTCGGCCTCCCCGAGTCATCACTCGCTGTTCTCATCTCCCCGACTCGCCCAGGAGCATCTTGCGGCCTGGACCACCTCAGCCCTTCGCCCAGCCCGTGGCTCATGGTAGGCGCTCGACAGTTATTTCTTCATTCTTCATTCTTCATTCCCAACAGTGTGGGACCAGAGCCAAGACGGTAGCTCCGGAGTCCCGGGCTCACCCAGAAGTTCTTACCTGGACTCAGGGTCCCCTATCTGTGGCAGAGACTTGTCAACCCAATATCTATTCTAGCTGTACGACACATGTCTGGGAGGAAGACATTTCCCAGCCACCCTTGCAGTATGTGTGGCCCTGTGACTAAGTTCTGGCCAGTGAGAGGTAAGTGGAAGTATTGTGTCTGTCTTTAAACGAGGGGGGCATGGTTTCTGCCCTCGCTTCCACCTTCCTGCCAGATGGAGTGTGGGTGTGATAGGTGGCATTTAAGCAGCCATTTTGGGCCATAGACTACATGATAAGGATGATGGGGCAACAAACTCAAGGAATCTGGGCCTCTGGCTTCATGGTGCTGCCCCAAGACTGCCTGCCTCTAGATTTTTTTTTTTTTAATTGAGGTATAATTGACATATAACATTATATGGGGTTTCAGGTATGCAACATAATGATGCAATATTTGTATATATTGTGAAATGATCACCACAGTAAGTCTAGTTAACTTCTGTCACCATACATAGTTACAATTCTTTTCTCTTGTGATGAGAACTTTTAAGATCTACTCTCAGCAACTTTCAAATATGCAATACAGTATTATTAACTATAGTCACCATGCTGTACATGACATCCCCAGGACTTATTTATTTCATAACTGGAGGTTTGTGCCTTTTGACGCCCTTCACCCATTTCGCCCATCCCCCACCCCCTAGATTTTTTTTTTTTTTTACTATAAAAGAGGAAATGAAGTTCAACCTTGCTTAAGCCACTGTTACTTTGGGCTCCTGTATAACGCGGCCAAACCTGACCCTAATTAAACACCATCTGTCAAAGGCATGGGGCTGGGGTGTGAACTCGTCGCTGTGTTTATCCCTCATGCTCCCGCCAGGATCAGCCAGTGTCCTGCACAGATTAGGGGCTCAGTAATCGGTTGGCAAGTTCATGAGCTGTGTGGAACCCTCCCCCAGAGGGGCTCAGTGAATGATGAACATTAGACTTTCCGTGTGCGGAAGTGTGACGATCATGGTACAGAGTCACACAGACTTGGGTTTGGTCCCAGTGGTACCACCCACCGCCCGTGGGACTCTGAGCAAATGACCGAAGCCTCGGTGTCCTCACCTGTGAGATGAGGCTGACATCGGGGCCTCCCCGGCAGCCCCCAGGCTTGCTGAACCCCCGGCGGAGGCCCCCGGCCGCTCACCTGGTAATCTGGGGCAGGGAGACGAGCTTGCCGGCAGCGGTGGCTGCGCGGAAGCTGTGGGCTCCGATGGTCTCCATGGCGATGATGGGCACGTCGCCCCAGCCCACCTCCTGCAGCCCCTGGACCACTCCGCACAGCAGGCCCCCGCCACCCACCGACAGCGCGATGGCTCCCGGCTTTGTGCCCAGCGTCTCCTTCAGCTCTGCCACGACGGATGCGTGGCCTTCCCTGGAGGGGGTGGGAGGGTGTCAGGTCAGGGCTGGGCTTCCTGGAGACACCAGGCGGGGCTCCTGGGGATGCCACTTGCCCTCTGCACTTGCCCTCATCCCCGGCAGCTGACGGACCTTGGGGCTAGTCCCCTCTTCCCCATCTCCACTGGCATTTCCAGCTGCCAGCATCTGTGTCTCTCCCTGAGGGCTTTCTCTGGCCCGGAGCTGCCTATGAATGTGGCACCTGGCAGTGCCAGCAGATGACACCCCCCGAGAACAGCCCCCAGCCAGTGAGGATGAGAATGGAGAATTATGGGTGTCGGTGTAAAAATTCCCCAGCATCCTCTCCCGTGGGTGGGATAACTCTGGTTCGCTTCACACTGGCTCCTGGGGACCCCCATGGGATTTAGTTCCAGCTGCCCAGGGCAGGCACCTGCTTCCTTCCTTCCTCGTCTCACTTCCCCACTCCTCTAATGAATCACCCCCCCATGTAAACTGCTTTCCCTGAAATCTTTGTCTCAGGGTCAGCTTCCAGGGGGACCCAATGGCAGACACCTGTGTCTCTGAGCTGATGTGTTCGCTCACGGACGTGTTGGTGTGGCCATGGCGAATGGGCATTGGGGCACATGTGTGTGCACCTGCCGTCTGCCTGTGTGTGTGCTTCTACATGGTGGAATGCTCACACACGTACAACTGCTGTGCATGATGGTGTGCTTTGTGGCAGGTGCCTAGTGGTGGAGGCGGTGGCTGCCACCCACACCAGGTGACCCTGGGCTCCACGTACCAGATGAGGGGGTCATCAAAGGGAGGGACGTAGACCCAGCCTGGGTTGTTCTTTGCCAGGGCCTTGGCCAGCTCAAAGGCCTCGTCCAGCATCTGCAAGACCACAGGGCGGCAGGGGGGTGAGGGGCTGCAGGACCCTGCCCTGCCACCAGGTGCCCTCTGTGGCCCCTGCCCCAGGTCGGCACTCACCTCGCCCACCACCTTGACCGTGGCGCCTTCATTCTTGAGCCGCTCGATGGTGAGGGCAGGGGTGGTGCTGGGCACGACGATGGTGGCAGGGATGCCCAGCTTCCTGGCGGCATAGGCGGCTGCCAGGCCTGCGTTGCCCGCTGCCAGGGGTGGGGGGTGGAGAGGGTGTCAGTGCCAGAGGACCTGGGAGCCCAGCCAGGACTGCCCACCCCCAACCTCGGGGCTCTGAATGCCCCTGTGTGACCGCTGGCCTCCCCCTGGAATTCCAAGTCGGGACTGCTGCAGATGTTTGCAACAGCTCATTGCTGGGGAAACCGGGGCCCAGAGAGGTGGAGTGCTTGGCCCAGGGACACACAGCAGAGGACAGGAGGAGGCATGCAGGGCACCTACCCGAGGAGCAGACGAAATGTTCACAGCCTCGCTCAGCCCACTGTGGAGACAAGTGGGGAGGGGGTCAGGCCCTCCCAGTGTGTCCCGGGGCTCTTCCTTCCCCCCTGGAATACCTCCCAATGATTCCAACTGACGCTGGCCTCGCCTTCCTTCACACGGAATTTGTGTGGCCCCAGCCTCTCCGACGACATCTTCCCTCCCCAAAGAGACTGGTTCAGGCACGGGTGAAGGAGAGGCGGGCAACTGATGGTTCTGGGAGCAGCGCAGGAGGGGGGCCCTGTGGACGGGCGCCCCTAAACCAGAGGAAGCACCGATGGCGGATGCTCAGGCCTTGTGGGGAGTCAGCAGGGCGGAGCCTGGAACGCCCTGGATGTCACACAGCACTGGCCCTGCCCTCGCGGAGAGAGGGCCTGCCGCCCCGCCCCGATGACGTGGAGCCCGTCCTGTACCGTCTTGCAGAGGTGTCCGATGCCCCGGATCTTGAAGGAGCCGGAGGGCTGGGCACTGTCCATCTTGAGGTAGACGCTGGTGCCGGCCACTTTGGACAGGGTCATGCTGTCACGGATAGGGGTCTTCACGTGCAGGGGCTCCCCGGACGTCATTGCTGGAGGAAGGAAGGACACCCAGGGGGTCGGGAGAGTGGTCCTGCGGCCAGCGCTGCCATCCAGCGTGGCGGAAAGTGACCCTGTCCCTCACTTCTCAGGACGCCGGGACAGGGCCCGGATCACAGCGTCCTGGAGACCTGGGTTCAAACCTCAACTTGGCCTCCTACTCGCCAGGCGACATCAGACAGGTAATCTCCCCTCAGCCTCAGCTCCCTCATCTGTAAAATGGGGATAAGACCCCCCCCACCCCACACACACCCCCTGCTGGGAGGCTGCCAACATCAGAAGTAACATTCAGACCTTGCAGCTTTCCAGGGGTGTGAGGTGGAGAGGGGTTTGCAGGTGCTGATTCAGAATGAGTTGCAAGCTGGTTAAGTGGATAAAGCAAGGGCAGGTTGTCAGGTTTGGTCTATTTGTGCAAAAAATGCGGACACACACTCAATCCACTGGCTTCCATGTGCTCCGGAGCATCTCAGGAAACACACAAGAAACTGACCAGGGCGGAGCCTCCGGGGAGAGCCGGCACTCAGCGTTCCCTCTTGTACTGTTTCAACGTTTTGCCACATGCATATGTTAGTTGTTTAAATATATATATATGTTTTAAAACTAACTTTTGGAAAGCCTTGTACCTAGTTTTTAATTATTATTTATTTTTATTATTTTATTTATATTTATTATTATTTTTATTTATTATCCAGCTTTTATTATTGTTCTTATTTTTTATAATAATCACTATATTACTTAATAATCACCATGTGCCAGGCACTGTTTTAAGTTTTACAGATGTTACTTCGTTTAATCCTCTTAATCCTAGAGGTGCCGTTACTACCCCACTCTCTCGATGAGGAAACGGGCCCGACTTTGTTTTCTGGGATGGCTACTCAAGCTCCTCCCAGCCCACGTGCACCGCTCACGGCGCCACATTGACGTGTTGTCGGTGGGAGGCGGGTCTGTGCTGCCTGCCCTTGACCCCGGGGGCCTGTGGCTGCAGTGGAGGTGACACGGTGTGCTTCCAGCAGCGGTGTGCTGGTAAATGTTTAACAATGGGCTCGCCGAAGGAAAAGGAAGCCCTGATTTGCAGAGTGTGCACTTGGCGATGCATGTTCCCTCATCGAGGCCAATTTCAAACTACCGAAGTGATGTAATGAACATGGAGCTGGGAAGAGCCGGACACAATCCGCCCCTGAAGTCCTGTGTGAGTGGCCCCAGAGCACCACCGCCCCTGAGGCTCGGTCACAAAAGGTGTCACAGCCTGGCCGTCTCTCTTGGGAAGCTCCCTCTCTAAACCCAGCCACCGTGATGGGAGTAAGCCCAGGCCACGTGTGGAGGCCACATGTAGGTGTCCCAGCTGACAGCTGATGGCTAATGTCAACTGCCAGGTGTGGGACATGACTCTGGGGTGACTCTAGCCAGGCCGCTGTCACTGCAGCCGCGTGAGAGACCCAGTGGGAACTGGCTCGCTGAGCCCAGAACTGTGACAGGTAACAGTACAATGGTTGCCGTTGTTTGAAGCCACTGCGTCTTGGGGGAGTTTGTTACCCAGCCACCGGGACTGGACTTTTGAGGTGACTTGCCCAAGGTCACATAGCTGGTGAGTGGGGGAGGCCGGATTTGAACTCAGGCAGTCCGGCTCTGGAGCTGAGGCTCTCTCCAGGACACGTGGGCGTGGCTCAGGCCTCCCCTTCTGGACGGACTCTGGGTGACAGAGACGATGAGGCCGCCCAGCCTTTCCATCGTGTCCTCTCTCCCGCTGAGAGTCATGGGGGAGCCTGATTCCCCCGGACTTGGGCTGAGCCTGATTGTTGATCAGTGGGTGGTTGTGTGGGTGGCCTATCTGGCTCCCCCCACCATCCCAGAAGGCCAGGACCCCACCCCCTTTCCAGTGACACCATCTGGTCCAGCCCCCTGACCGAGGCTCTCCTGACTCAGGCATCGCCCCTCCCAGATTGGGCCAGACATGCCTGGGTCAGAAGGAAAGTAGACGGTGGGATTCCTGACCACCCCACCAGCCTCAGCACCCCCCAAATACAGATACCCCATGTCCGTGTGAATTAACTGACATTCAGGGCCTGGGAGGGGGGCCCAAACGGATACCCTCTCCCCCAGATCTTGTGAATAAACTCAGAGACTGCAGGCACTCAAAACAGGGGCATCCCCACATCTGGGAATTAACTTTCAGCTCCTGGAGGCTAGCCCCCAAGCAATCCCTCACCCCATCCTGGCTGACTGGACCTTAAAGCCTGGGGTCTTGTGCAAGTCCCCAAGCCCTGGCCTCAGGGACCTCTCCTGGTTGGGGGTGGGAAGCATCGCCACGAAGACCCCTTCCAGGTGGGTTTGGGAAGCTCCTCCCGCCACCTGCGTCTGTTGCACCATCGGATGCCTTCAGGTGAGGGGACAGATATCCTCCATGGGCATTGCTCCCTTGCCCCATGTAAAGTGAGCACATGTAAACCACACCGGCTGCCATTCCCACCCTGCTGCTGAAGGTGAGACTTCAGGAAGGGAGGCTGGCCAGGCGCCGAGGGAGGGGGCCCTGGAAGCTCCCGTCTGCCTGTCTCCCGGAGTCAGAAGTCACTCCCCCCTCACTTGGCTCAGAGTAAGAGCTCAATAAAAATTAACGATTATGTTATCTGGACTGGACCTTTCAGTGCACTATCTCATTTCACCCTCACAGCAATATTATGAGGAAGGTCCTATTATTATCCCCATTTTACAGATGAGGAAACTGAGGCACAGTGCTGGACGTGAACCCAGTCTGGCTTCAGTGGGTTTTTATGCCCAACAGACTCTTTCTACCTCCCTCTCCTCCCCTGGGAACCTCCAGGCTGGTGGCAGACACTCCAGTCCTGGGCTGGGGCTGAGGAGGGGGCCGCTTACCTGGCAAAGGCGGTGGAGCTGGGCGTCTGGGCAGAGTGAGCCAGCCAGGGAGGAATAGGCTGGAGATGGTCCAGATGGATAGATTGGGTAGACGGTCCACGGACAGATGGAGAGTAGATGGAGAGGTGGACTGTCTTCTGAACTGTCCCAGGGGCTACTTGTCCCGGGCTTTATTCCCCAGGCTCCTGCAGGCAGCCAATGGGGCTCCAGGACTGACCACCCCCCCCAGGACCCGCCCCCTGGCCCGAGGCCATGGGGGCTTCCAGGAGGGGACAGGGAGGCTGGCTGCACTTCTCTCTCTGGCAGCTTCGTCCTCTCTCCCCCTCTTCTCCCCGCTAGCCACCTCCCCTTCCCTCATCCTTAGCTTCTTGACTGGCGAATGGGTGCCATACCTACTTCCCAAGGCCTATCAGGAGGCTTACAGGAGGATGGCGAGAGATAATGCACTTAAAGTTCCTAGCATGTGCTTGGCACGTAGTAGGCACCCCAGAAACAAACCACAAGAGGAAGTGGGTACTATCATTATCCTCATCTTACAGAAGGGGAAACTGAGGCACCCAGCTAGGAAGAAGGATGAGCTGGCACTTGAACCCAGAAGTCTGACTCCCAAACCTGCAGTCTGAACACAGTTCTCTATCGCCTTCCCCTGTCGTCTTTGAGGGCTCTTTTGTCATAAAGAGGCAGATGGGTAAGACCTAGGCGGCTCAGGGTTCAAATCCCGGCTCTGCTGTTTACTAGCTGGGTAGCCCCGGGCAAACCACGTTGCCTCCTGGAGCCTCCCTTTGCTCATCTGTAAAATGGGGAAGATAATGGTACTTCCCTCCTAGGATTAGGGGACATGACGATGTACGTATGTAAGGGACCCGGAATGAGTGATGTTCACAGCCCAGCTATCACTGTCATCATCACCATCATCCTCATCACCATCGTCATCACCATCATCACAGAACTGGAAGGTCGTGCACCTGAACTCACCCCCTGCCCCATGCCAACCAAGCCTTCTGTCTGTCCCTGGCTGTGTGCAGGGGTCTGTGTGTCCACAGGAGCAGTGAGCACACACACACACACACACACACACTCACACTCACACACAGGCCTGGCTGGCTCTCTCCCGGGGCCCCTCAACAAAGCTCTCTTGTCCGGCTGGCCGGGATGAGAATATTGATGAGACAGAGGGCGGTGAGGGCACAAACAGTCCACACAGCCGTCTCTCTCTGTGGGACAAGCAGTCCCCTCTTGCAGGCTGCTCTGACCTTCCACAGGCTCTCCCAGGCCCCCTCCCCAGCGGGACGTCCACGGCGTGCGCCGAGGATACAGGATGGCAGGGCTGAGGTGGTGCGGGCATCGTGAAGCTCACACGGAGACCCGGCCTCCCTGTGTGCATCTGAGTGTATACAGCCGGCACTCACGGTGCCCGGGCATCTGCTTGTGCCCCATCCCACGCCAGGAGTTTCCCCTGTGGGGTTTCACTTCACCCTCAAACAACCAGGTGAGTGGACCCTTTGAGTCCCATGTCACAGGTGAGGAACAGGTGCAGGGAAATTGCCCCAGATCACCCAGGAGGCAGCGAGGGAACGCAAACTCAGGAATTCTGAGTCCTCTGTGGACACAGGGCGGATGCGGAGGGTTGAGGTGGGGTTGCAGAAGGACATCTGGCCCAGTCTGGTCACCTTCAGAGGTCCCAGCTTTAGGCATTTGACGCTGTCTCCATCTGAGGTTGTCCACGCAGATGGGGAGACGGGACGGAAGGAAGACAGCTGTCTTATAAGCTGACGTCATCTCTGCTCCAATGGCTGGATGGTGAGGAGCTGCGAGTGGTGGGAATGAGATGATCAAGTCCTCCTTTAGGCCTCTCCATATCGTTCTGTTTGTTTCAACAAGAATGCATCACTGCTGTGATTTGAAAAATAGCAGATTAAGAAAGTCAATCATATGAGAACCAAAAAGAGGGAAAAAGATAAAATATGTATCACTGTTGTTGACATCCTGTCTGGGCATATCCTTTTTTAAATAATAACTTTATTGAGATATAATTCACATGCCATACAATTCACGCATTCACAGAGTACCAGGTTGAGAACATTTTCATCACCCCAAAAAGAAACCCCGTCCCCATTCAC